CAAAACTCAATGTAAGAATTTTTCAGCACTTTACGGCCGCCATGCCGGTGCCCCTCCGAGGGGGATTAAACACGTACGTGAGCTGCGGTTAGCTTTTCTTTCACTTCTGATTGGCCATGCATGACAAAGTGGCGCGAGTTTTTTAAGGCAATGGCGTAGCTTAGCAATGCAAAAAGCTAAGAAAATGCAAAGCACTTTCGAAAATGCTTAGGTGAAAACTGTGCTATAGTGTCTAACTGGTTTAGCGCCTTGCTGTAGTGGAAAGGTTTATGCGCTATTGCAGAGTCAACTGAGAACAGTCAGGAAAAGTGCTAGCCTGCTAACGAATAACGCCGCCTCACATCACTCCTGGCCGGTTTGGTGACACAGAATTTTGAAGAAGACAGAGTGACTCGGGTAAGGAAGAAAATGTAGGAAGTACCGATTACACTGTGTTCAGGATATTGTTCGATAGTTCACTGCATGATCAAAGGACTCCATCCTAAAACACTGTTTTTTTTTTTTTTCGTTTTCTTTCATTTTTGCCNATAACGCCGCCTCACATCACTCCTGGCCGGTTTGGTGACACAGAATTTTGAAGAAGACAGAGTGACTCGGGTAAGGAAGAAAATGTAGGAAGTACCGATCACACTGTGTTCAGGATATTGTTCGATAGTTCTCTGCATTATTAAAGGACTCCATCCTAAATCGCTTTCTTTTCTTTTTTTGTTTTCTTTCATTTTTGCCGCGTAGGCGTTATTTCAATTACGGCTCAACATGTGAAACGTAAAGAGAGTATGCAAATTTCGAGAAAAGCCCTTCTTTTCCCCTCTTAATTAATTGAAAAAAATTACGAGGATCTCACAAGCTTTGAGCAGTACGAAGCCAAAAGGTAATGCCCAAGTTTTGACAATTCGTAGCTGGTTTGCATTAAATTACTCAAAATTGTGCAGTTTTTATCACATATATGTTAAAAATAAGCATGCCTTGATATGTTGTTATTAAATGGGAGACACCTGTCGTTAACGTTGCAGACGAGACTGCAGTCAAATATTGACCCTTCCGCCTTGTTTGAAGCCAAACCGCTAATAACTGTGACAGAAGCAATTATAAATAACGAGATGTCGAGAAAACGTTCGATATTGTTCTTTTTTTTTTTTTTGGTGGCGAATTTTAAATTTTCCGAATCGAGCATTAGAATACTTACGTGTATTCATGGTCTAACAGTACTGAAAATTGAATGGTTACCGAATATCTAACGTTGCTTAGCAGGTATTCGCAATCGATATATTAATTACGCTTATTGGACATCGCGACAAACTTCTAATCTTTGTTTGCTACAGCTGTCACAGAAACTTTCAGAGTGGAAGAGAATTTTGAGTGTTGCACTTTGAGTACAAAATCAATTCTTATCGAATCGAATTATTTCAACCCAACGATTGGCCCGAATTGCAGAAAACATTGAGCATTACCATATTTCAGTCATGATCCAATTGTCAGGTAGGACTTCAAATGATATAATCGGTATTCCGTCTTTTTTACCGTTGCTCACTGATAGGTCTTAACTTTTATCAAGATGTTAACATGTCCAGTTTTAGTTTAGGCATAGTTACTACTAACTATGGTTTAGGTCCTAAGTTCTTTTCGATCGTGAGTTTCCACGATAGATTTCACCCGCATAAAGAACGATTATTCTGTAACGAAACCTTAAAATCGGCTTTACCATTATATCGAACTGGATCTCATGATGTGCTGAAAACGTTTTTAATTTTTGTTTCCAAGTGATTGTAGACATCCAGTAACTATTTTATTTTATTATTTTTTTCATTTTTAGCTAGGACATAAAATATAATCATTCAGAAACACTTCGCACGGCTTTTTGTTTAACACACTTTCCTCTTGCGCAGGACTTGGCAATACAAGCACCACAGAAATGAAGTTAAAGGGCTTTTTTTCAATTGCACTGGCTTTGAGTTTGGTTGCAATCGTGGGAATGATTGTTTATACCTCCAAACAAACCGTAGGAGACATGATCAGGTTCAGTGAAATCAGTGACTTTCATTTATCATCTGAATTTTTCACCTACAACTCGAAACTTCACGATTATACAGCACAAAAAAGCACAACTCGAAAGCCTTTCGTTTATCTCACGGAGACAGAGCAATGCCTTCCTCAAAACTTGGCCTCTTCTTCTCAGATTGGCGATCCCGAGACCTGCAACTGTGATGTGATTGTGCTAAGTTTCATAGCCAAGTGCCAAGATAACAAACAATCACACATCACTTATTTGTTTGATCCGAACACCCTGTTTGCATCAGGACGGAATGTGCTCTTTTTTGCCGCAATGGATAGAAGACCAGGCTATCATTATTACATATTTATAAACGACGACACGATTCTCAAGTTCAACGAGTTTACACCCGCCAACATCACTAAGATGTCGCCGTTCCGAGCTGTAGAAGAGTGGCTGCTAGATTACGAGCCAGCAGTGGGTGTGTTGGATTACAAGGTCCATCATGGCGCAAGCACTGTCATAAAGAAAAGGAGAGATTTATGTGGTATAAATGAATCATCTCTCGTTCTTCCTAC